TTTTTTTTTTTTTGACAATTTTTATAGGTGAACCACATCAAGCGGGAGCTCCATAATGTTTTCATCCAGAATCTTTACAGGTATGTCGAATAAATATAGTAATCTGAAAAAATTGAAATGAAGATGAGAGAAGTGCAACTGTGGGTTCTTAACTTTGGCTCCATCTTCAACTAAAGAACCTTTTACGTTCGCCTGTTCGGCTCAAATGCATAAAACCTGATTTATCTCAAACCTAATATTTGTTTGAGCAGAGAGAACTTGTTCGAGGAAATGTTGCAAGAACCGGACGAGATCTCCTCAAAGAGAAAGCGTACTCGAGAGACACTTCGGATCCTGCAGCAGGCCTTTCGTGTGAGTGATCTATTGAGTTTGTTTCAAACAAGTCAAAGCTTGTTAGTTTCATTTATCATTTCCAGAAAACCTTCAACAACATGGTGTTAATAAATCATAAATGGATTTGCGTATAACAACCTCACTTGATTTTTTTTTTTATAATTATAATGTCTCCCATTTCACATGTAGACGCTGGACGAACTGCCGCTAGAAGCAGAATCTGTCAACAGAGGAGGTTATAGCTTGAGTACTGACAAAATGGGCCTCCCAAAGACTCACTCAAAGTCACGCAAGTCGGGCGAGTCTCACTCAGTGTTTTAGGCTGATAATAGGATTTTAGGGAAATTTTGCATTTAATTCAATGGCTACAATAGATGAATCTTTGTTACATCTGTTGATAGCAATTGTCTTTTGTTTCCCTTTTAGAGATTTATGAACAAACTTGCTTTAAGTATACTTCCCTCAATATATGTGGGTAGGTTTGGTTGTTTGTTTATATTTATAAAAGGAGTAGCTTTGGTTTCTAGCATTTTCTTCTTTTTATCAAAATGAAATATAGTCACTATGTTCTATTTAATGACATATAGCCATTTTGGTATGTAAAAGGCCAATATTGCCCTTGGTTTGTTAATAAACCATCTCTTTTTCATCTTTGCCTAATGAACAAAGAACATTAATGTTTTCATAATTCAAAATTTTATTTCTTATAATATATTTACATGTTACCAGGCTCTTGTACCATTTTTCAAATATCAATCTTTGAGCTTTAATTTCAGTTTAATTACAATCATGATTGAGAAATTGTGGAAATTTCTAGATATTAAGTTTTAATTTTATTTTTTTCAGTTTTTTCTTTATATCTTTAGATAATTAACTTGGCTTTCTAGTTCTGGAAAGTAATTTCTATAGTGATCATTTCTTGCAAAATGATTTTGATAATGGTTCTTCTTGAGTGTTATTCCATATTTAAGGATTTTTAGGTTTTCTAAGAGATCCGCTCTGGATTTTCAAATAAACTTATTTCGTTTTTTCTTATATCACACATAAACATCTAACCGTATGGAACTATCATTTAATCTCTCGTTAATATTGTCAAACTCTTCTTTCATCTTAAAAATTAAAACAATCTTCGAAAGAAATAGTTGTTTCTTTTTCTTCTAATGTTTTTATTTTATTTTCTATTTTTTCTAGTTTCAAGAATAAGCTTATTAATATCAAGTTCTTTTTTGTGTTCTTCTATATATTTTTTGATATCTTATTTAAGTAATCAATTAATCTAGTAAAATTATCAATAGTATTATTTTCAGAGTATCTAAATTCATCATCTGAGTCTTACAGTTAGCAACAAATTCTTTTATCTTTTTTGTATTTGATATACTTGTTTTTCTTTTTGAAATTTCATCAAGCCTAACCTTGTGTTCTCCTCTTTTTAGAGGTATATGCAGACATTTACCTTAATTTCTTCTCTGGTTGAATTTGCTAGAACTGATTAGTCCACCATAGCTTCATGCTTTCTTCTTAAATTCCAAACACTGTTCTCCAAGTCATCTTACTGCCCTTTTCCATGGGTCTCACTCTGACGAGCGATTGTGTCTCCAGGAATCTCCAGAGGAATCTAGCCTAAACTCTTGGTTTGACCTTTTTTGTACTCTTTTTTATGAAGCTTGATAGCTTCTAAATGTCTGAGGCTTAATGTTTCTGTAATTTGAAGCTCCTACCTCTTTGGATTGGTGTTTCAAAGCTTCTTTTTATTGAATATTGAAAGTGTTTACAGAAAATGATACTGAGCAGATATGCAATCTCACGAGGGATGCCCCTCCACACATAAATAGCACCTCCTTATATAGAAATTAGAGACGCGTGAATTATTGGGTTCGACACATGTCACCATCTCTCCAAACGCGTTTCAAAAAAAGCAAAAGATAAGAGGGACCACCACATGCTGGCGTCTCCTCCATTATTGGGTAAATGCTGAGTCATTTTAGTATCTTTTCTCTTTCTTCTTTACATCATAGCATTTCTTTAGTTTTGTGATGCTCTTGATTTTTCTGAGATGTCCTTATCTTCCTTTTCCAACCTTCCATTTCCTTTGGCAGAGTTTTCTTCGTTTCTCCTCTTGGCGTGATTCTCTTCTTTTTCTTCGCCGACAGTCTGGACTATGGCTTTTACACGTAGCTTCGTGCCTTCAGTAGCATGAATGTCTGTAACGACTTTATCTTCCCACTTTCTGATAATGGCAAAGTCATGCTTGCTGATTTTCTTGTTGAAAATACTAATCAACAAAATGTTATTGCTGCAGTAATTTATTTTTATTTTACTCTCAAGGGTAATTTTCTCAAGAGATTTTAAAATAAGATAAATCTTATCATCACGTTCTAGATTTAGTTCTTTTTTCGGAAAGCTCGGGTTTTTCTTGCACTAATGGAGTTGGTGCCTTAATTTCTCCGACTACACTCGTCTGAATGTAGTGATAACTAGTTTTTCATCCCAGATTGCTATTGAATTCCAAACCTTAATGTAAATGTTTTTTTGATGTTTTGGATTCCACATTTTTCAATATATAACCCAATGACTTGTTTAATTTTTAGAAACAAGGATAACTCCCTTAAACTCCATTTTCTGGGCAGACCGTGTCAAAGAATCCTCCATGAAAAAGATCTCTGAATTGTTCTAGATTTGTCTCTTGTAAAAGAATTCCTTTGACATGTCGGTTTTTCATGACATAAACAACTTTTTGTTCTATGGTACTTGCATTAACCTCCTGATATAACATGCGTCATTCTTCTTTAGTTACAGTAGACTTGATTAGTCTGCTGTTTATCTTCTTCGGTCTTCACGAAATCGGATCTCTGCAGTGGCTATCATCAGATTCTCTATCGCCCGGGCGACGAGTGGAAGGCAAGGGTTTTTTGAGTAGTTGGTGATGTCATTTGAGTTATTCAATGCGTGAATTAAATGTGAGTAAATTATTTTATAAACAAACAAGCCCTAACTATTGAGCTTCATGACTATTGAGCTTCATGGACTTAGAAGAACCTTCAATTATTTTACTAATAACAGTAACATAAAAGTTATTGGAAATTACAAAGGCAAAGAAAGGATTCATAGTTCATAATATTCACATGCATTGATACTAATTTTACAATAAAAAAAAAAAATAAAATCAGTACCAACTACCGATTAGCACTCTGATGAAGACTCGAAAGCGTTTCTTTATAATCGATAAAAGAAAAAAATTATGTGCGCTGTAGCAACTTGACCGCACTGCAGGCTAGGAACTGCACGTGTACCGCTCGAGTTGGCTGCTCTCAACAAACTTTACCGCCAACAGGCTTGCTGCATATACATATAGCTTCTCTCTCTCTCTCTCTCTCTCTCTCTCTCTCTCACTCAATTCCACCATGGATATCACCATGTCGAGAAAAAGAGCGGAGATTAGCAGTCCCAGTGATGTCCTCCCTCAACAGAATCAGCCGCCGGCCGCAGAGAGACGCGGAGGGCGCTCTAATTGGTTTCCCTTGCCGTCAACAGCGGCGATTGCTCATTTCCACCGCCGTCGTTTCCTGAGCTTCAGATCTGCATTCCTCTGCTTAATCACCTTCGCCGTGGCCGCGGCTTTCATTCTCTATTCCAGTCGATTCGCGAATTCACGTTTTGCCTGGGTAATTTCTGCTTTCTCTCTCTTCATTTCGTTTTCCCCTCCCTCTCTCTCTCTCTCTGATTTCGATTTTTCATTTTTTTTTGTTTTTGGCGAAGTTTGGTGAGGCTGTGCAGTCAGGCAATGTTTCCGGCGAGGCCTACCACTCGCCGGAGGTTTTCAAGTTGGATTACGCTGAAATGGAGAGGGAATTCAAGGTGTACATGTATCCGGAGTACGACTATGGAGGTCCTCCGATTCAGAGCACGATTTCTGGGAAGTACGCGAGTGAAGCATATTTCTTCAAGAACATAAAAGAAAGCGCGTTTCTGACTAAAGATCCTGAGCAGGCGCATTTGTTCTTCATCCCCATTTCCTGCCACAGATTACACCGAAAGGTTCTGCTCTGCTTCCTTTTCTCTTTCTTTACTTCCATTTTTGTTAATTTTCAGGCCTTCGATTGATGCGCACATATATTGAAACTATGAAATTCTCTTTGTTTATGTCTGAGTAAATAATAATAGCTCTCTCTCTCTATCTGTCTCTCTCTCTCTGAGTGTGTGTGTGTCTGTGAAACTGAAAAATCCCATATTACTGTGTGTGTGTGCTCTGGTATGTGGTGTGTTCTTTGTGCGCAAAAACAGAGTAGTGTTGATTGAATCCAAACGTTGAGACGTAAGAGTGCGAAAGTATGTGTCTCTCTCTAGGTATGCGCATGAAATCTGATTTTCCCTTTTTGAGAAATTTGATTTTTTTTTTCTTATCTAGGCATAATAAATCAGATTTTTTACTTACATTATTATTTATGAATTTTATATTATATTAGTCACTTTTCATTTTAGCAATATTTCATTTTTCATTCCGTCGGGCTTTGTAACCGTTAGATCAACTATCCACGACGGTTAAATGATGATCCAACGGTTACAAATCCGACGAAATGGTTCCGTAACGAGATTGTAGCATTTTCCTACATTTGTAATCATATCATCTGAAGTGATTATAAATTTCATGTTTTAGTGAATCGAATTTTCACACACCATAATATGTATAGAAACGGAAAGAAGAAAAGAAAAACAAAAGAGCACCGCTTAACTCTAACTAAAAGTTGTGTCCACTCTGAAAAGCCACCATGCAAAATACGCGCACACTCACGCAAAATGAACAATATGTATGCTGAGGAGTATATATAACATCTGTTTGTGAGGGAAAAAAAAATAAATACAAAGAACAAAATAAACGTACACATCACCATTCACAAAGACACTGCAAGCTTTTTCTACAAAGTAAGATGGGAATATCAGCTCACCGCGCGCAGGCCGAGTATGGCGGTTGGGGGGTGGGTTCGTGGACATTGATGATTACTGTGGTGACCCTTATGGTCTTTATGCCGCTCGGGATGGGGCCCGGCCCGATTAAACCCCCTTCTTGGGCTATGCTCAGTGTCATCCCTGTGGTCTTGGCAGCTGTCCTCTTCTGCCTCATCCATGGCCCGGCATACAAGAACCGTACTAATATTTAGTTGTCTTAAGAAAATATATCGATGTAACTTGCTTGGGACCTTGATGGGATCGGATATGATATTATGAATGGTGCTTTGGTACTGTTATATAAAGCGTTCGTGTGATCTTCATTTGTTGCCTCAGTTTTCTGTTTGTTTCTTTTTTTTTTCCCTTTGATATAAGGATTTGCGTATAATGTGTGGAAATCATGAATCATTGGTTCCAACCGACTATTATACTTTTAAGTAATTAATTGCATTTCGTGTTGGTTAACATTATTTGGAAGTTTTATTGACATGGTTCCCTCCGGTGGCCGGAATATGAGATGATTGAGAGATGACTGTTCGGGTATAAACCAGAATATTCAGGGACTGTGAATTAATTTTAGGCATTATATCCGGCGTTGCACAGAATATTTTGGGGAAATAAAATATTTTTTCCAAATAGTCAATAACACTTGGCGGCCAGTGAACGCCAGGTTTACTTTAACATTTATAGATGTCGGCGTGTGGCATTCAGTGTTCTCACCAGACACCTGCATTATTTTGTCATGAGAAGATGGACATTTTTGTTTAGTTTTATTTTTTTGGACTTGTTTTGACTATTTTTTACTAAGACATTGTCCCTGCAGGGAAGGTTATAAGTTTATAAAGACTATAATGTGTGTGAGTATAACAATACAACCAAAGGCAGTTATTTTTCTATTATTACCTCTCCCTGTTTATGTTTTGTCTATTGTAGTAAGTAGCAAGTAATTAAACAACTTCAAGAGGAATAAGGAAAATGTGATCAGCATTCAGTATATGCCTATAGAGCATAATATTGTCTTGTTGGAACGTGATTTATGGTATTCCTCGGTTGTTTTAAAACAAGGGTTAAATGCAAGATTAATACTAGAGTTATGCTCTAGTTTCATAAGTTCTTATTATCTTCTACAATGTATGTTCTGTTTTCAAATTGAATCTCAAGAGGGAAAAATATGCATGTTAAATACTAAATTCAAGGGAGGTAGTTCATAGTTGTATAAGTTACATTGGTGGCACTATTGTTTGTAACTAAGTTCAGTCCGGGGTTTTTCCAACTTGAAACAGTCTGCATTATGAGACTGTCTTTGAACTCATGGCATGCTTGAACTCATGTGCTAATTTATGTATCCTACTCCTCAAAGAACAGGCTCTAGTGAAAAAGTGTAAAACAAATATGTACTCTCTTGATCACATTTCAGGTATCGTCTTACGATGAAATGGGATCGATCGTTCAGGAATATGTTAAGGGCTTAGCCCAAAGGTACCCATACTGGAACAGAACTTTGGGAGCCGATCATTTTTTCCTGACCTGCCATGAGATTGGCGTTGGGGCAACTAAAAAGGTCCGATTTCTGGCCAAGAATGCAATTCGGGTGGTGTGCTCTGCTAGTTATGGTACAGATTTCATCCCTCATAAAGATGTTTCACTTCCTTTAGTAATACAGCCATTCTCAAAACCTGCAGGACATGAAATGCACGGGAGGTACGTAATTAGTCATTGAATTTAAATTAGTAATGAATGCTTGGAAATGAACATAAATTAACTAACTTAAGAATCACAGAACTGGCCAGAAAATGTCTGCACAAGCAAAATATATCTTCATCGGCCGGTTAATTGATATATGTTAACTTTGAATATTTCCTCAACTTTCAATTCTACATTATTAGAATTCATAATTTTTCTCTCTACAACAGAACTCTTTTCTTCAGTCTCTTCACAATTTTGAATATATGCCCATGCTGTTTCTTTGCAAGTAATTAAATGGGGTCATATAGTGGATGAATTTATCTTCTTTTTTTTTTTCCTTTTTTTCTTGTGGGGCAGGTCAATACTTGGTTATTGGGCAGGATACCGCAATTCCAAGACAAGAAATAAACTGGTGAAGCGTTGGGGGAAAGATAAGGAACTTGATATCCAGAACTCAACTGCTTATGCTTCTGGCAGAATGGAAAAATTTTACCGGTCCAAGTTTTGCATCTGCCCTGTTGGCTCAAGTGTCAATAGCAATCGCATCACAATGGCTATTCACTATGGATGTGTACCTGGTAATAATTGAATGTTTCACAAAATTCATTTGCTGCATAAGTTTTATATATAGATTGTTTGAAAGCTCTGCATTGTGTATGTTTATCATCAATTTGTTGGCTTAAAGGTAAGGTTTTAGGTAATGGGAATCACTTTTAATTGGCATGTGCTATTGCAGTAATCTTGGCAGATCATTTTCAAAGGTAAGGTTTTAGGTAATGTGAATCACTTTTCTTTGGCATGTGTTATTGCAGTAATCTTGGCAGATCATTTTCACTTGCCGTTCAGCAATGTTCTCGATTGGAGTAAGTTCTCTGTAGTAGTGAAAGAAAGAGACATTTTTAACCTCAAGAAGATTTTGAAGGCCAGAGTTGGTACAAGTTACAGAATATTGCACAGCAATCTACTCGAGGTAAATTGGCTAATTAGGATTGTTATTGTCTATATAGAATTCTATCAGATTGAACCTCAAGGGTGGTTTCTACTTTTCATAACACTATTAGATTTTTTATTTTTTTTTTACTTTTTTTTATTAATTATGTGAATCAGGTGCAGAAACATTTCCAGTGGAACGCAGTCCCATTGAAATTCGACACGTTCCACATGATCCTTCATCAACTCTGGTTGAGGCGTAACGTTGTCAAATACGTTTAAGGCTACTGGAAATCTTGAATTTTGTAGCAACAATATAACCATTTATTTGTCTTTTTACTTTTTAGTGACAGCACAATTTGTACATTCTGTTTGTTCGATGTGAATTTGACTACTTACACTCTGAGCTGGGCAGAAGAATTATATGCATGTCATTAAAGGGCACTTCCACTTGCAGCTGATGAGGTTTTTGTTATTAGTCATTAAGTATTTGCTATCTAATACTTAATAAAGACGACACCAACGTAAGTCTCCAATATCACGAGATTATCAAAATAAAATCAATCTTCACCTGAATTGCAAAGCGGCTTAAAGACTCAAACGAATGGAAAAGCTCCGTTTAATGTTTTGCTAAAACGCCTATGCATGAAAGTCGAGAGTAAAGATAAACAAATGCAGTTTTTCTAGTAGTGTACTAGTGTTGCATGTATGAACACCAAATCTGGCAAATTCCATGCCAACATATATAGACAAAATGCAAAGAAAAAAAGAAAAGGAGAAAAAGGGGGAGTACAATATGTGAACCACCCTCAGTACCGAAAATATATGTACATTTTACTATTTTACTGCTTAACAGCAACCAATGTCAGTTACAACTGGAAACTTCAATGGCTGGCTTGCCGAGCAGGTCAATGAATCAGTTGTCGCCACCGGAAGACATTATCACGTTGGCTGGTGGCGAGACTGTTATCTCCTCCATTTTTGCTTTACCATCAAGCTGGGGGGCGCAAAGAGAGACAGTAAATTAACAGAGAATAAGTATCTCCTTAACATATTTGATATCTTTTACAAATTGCACTCTCAGGAGTATGGGGTGTTTGTAACACTTAAAAGGGGGTGTTTGTAACTTTTGAGATAACATGCAGCATTTTGTGATTAAGCAAAACCTCAGGAGTCGGTTTTGTAATTTGTCTATTTTGAGATGTGAAACTTGCCTCCATAGCATGTTGCTGCACTCCAATAATGGGAACTTTCGAAAGGTCTCTCATGACTCCCTGCAAGAAGGATAAGTGTGTTTAGGGACTGTTTGCAAAAACTATGAAAATGTGATTGCCCGACTCAAGGTGGACAGATATATTTATCAAGTGTATGGAAATAGCCAAATATTCATGTTCCAGTAAATTGTCAAAATAAGAAATATAGCTTCCAAATATATTGAAAAGAAGATTTAGCGACATATGAATATCCAATATAAAGGCGAAAAAGGAATTGGAAACCGGTCCATGGATGAAATTATATTACTAAATGTTAGAACAAGAAACCTTTATCAACAATTTGCAGGAGAGTTAAACATTAAGCTCCCCAAGATATGCATGTAGGAAAAAAACAGCTCTGTTTTTGACAAAAATAATACAAGGACGAAAATATAATTTTCTCTCTAATATAAAAAATTCTGTAATACGCAAAGGTCAGCAAGCTTATTTAAGTATTTAAAGATTGGTAACAACTAACAACAATTGCCCTGAACAGTAGCAGAAGATAATACACAACGTATAGCCACCATATATAAAACTAGTCACCAGTGAGCTGCACCATATTCATGATCCTACACGCACCTTGCTAGCCCATTTGAGACCACATGCATTGCACAGAGTTCGTGGGCCATCTGGTCCACGCCGCATCATAGGAGTGGATTTTGAGCTGATCCCACAATGCCGGCATCTATTGAAAGTCGAGCAAGATTAGCATTATTTCTAAAAAGTCATGAAGGGTACACAAAAAAGACACCTCTGCAACTCAAAATCCAAATTTTGTTCAATTATGAATCATTAAATCCAAAACACAAGCGTGATGCAATAAATAGCTGTTCCTGATTACCAGCAAAGAAATAACAGAACTCAAATCCAAAACAATCGAAACATGGGCACTCACAAGGTCTCCTGCTCTTCTGAGCCCGAATTTCCATTCCAATCAACAGACGAACCCATTTCTTCGCCAGCTGATTTGGACGATGTAAACTGACCTTTCTTACGCTGCATCCTGGAAGGTTGCATATGCATGAGATACAATCAAATTCAGCATAGACAAGTCAAAAAAATAAGCGAGACAATATTGAGGTAACATAAACCAAAAAATTAAAATTAAAATTAAAACAACTCAGCAGACAAAAACCTCACAATCTCCACCGCCCCTGCCCACATGATCAAAGATGACATTTACTGAGAGATGAAAACCACATGCAAAACCCTGTTTCTATATTCTACGACCACTTTACATGAAAACATCCTTTGAAATAAAAAACTTGCATGTTTTATTACATTGAAGTGTATGTTAGCATCCATCAGTTGTCCTGTTATAAGCATTGATGTGTCACATCAACTTTCCAGACCATTTAAAACATGAGATACAACTGAAGGATCGAGAACAGTCTCACATCATGTCAGAGATTGTAGACAACTATGGCTGGAAAAATAAATTAGGGAAACTTGCAAACATTCCACCTTTTCAATTTGTAGATGCAAAAATGTCACCTTCATCTTTTACAACCAAAATAACGATTAATATTATGACCAAGGGTGGTACTGTTTCAACGCATTTTTATATTTTTTTTTTCTCAATATATTATTCTTCAATTCTTCTTACTACCTGAGAGCGACTTCCTTGCGGACATTATAGCGAATCTTTTTCTCGAAACATCGTTCTTTCTTCTTTTCTCTAAAACGGATCAAAGAGGCAGCTCGCTGTGGCTGGCTTGACCTTACAGGATAATCACCCAAATTCTGTGGAAGTAAACAGAAACAATAGAATACTCAACCCTAATATCAACAGAAATTGGATATTGAGGATATAGCTACTTGACGCATACACTAGGGTTTTGAGGAGCCGATTCAGGAGTGGTGATGCCGGTAGGTACTTCATACCCTCCCAATAATAACAAAACTGCCTGGACCTGAAAATTATATGAATAAATAGCACAATTATACCCCTAAACCTTGCAATGGAGCCCCAAAAGACCTTGCAGTAGTATAATAACAATTTTCAGCTCAATGAATAAAGATAATTAATTAACTTCACTGCATAATCATTACCAGCTAAACCAATCTATAATGAACAGAACTGAAACCACAAAATTGTATTGCTTGAAAGAAATCCCTAAAGGAAAAAAGGCAAAAATCCTCACAGAGAATAACCCTTCACAAGCAAACCCAAACACAAAACTCCACAAAATTGAAGAGAAAAGATAAAATCAATTACAAAACTAAGAACAAAAAGAGTAACCTTTTCGGGAGTAACTGAGTCGAAAACATAAACTTCTCCCTGAAACGAAAGGCTGAGCTGGTCGGCCCCACCTTCCCCGGCGGAGGGTGCCACCGGATGGGCCGAGGCGTAGAGCCCGTGAGGGCCACTCGCTTCCATGGGCGCCTCGGCGACGGGCAGCGTGTGCGGCGACTGAGAATTGATCGCAGGGTTGTACCTGATCTGGGATGGCGGGTTCTCAATGGACTCGTCCCCATTAGAGCACTGAACGACGTCGTCCTTGTCGTCTTCATCGTCGGGATGAGTTGCATAGATACGGTGATCGGTGGTGGAGGTATTCATGGAGGCGTGCGGTGGCCCGTACATGGGAGAGATTTGCCTGATGTATGTATTTTTCACAGCTTCATTTTATTTATTTATTTATATAAAATAAATTGAAACACTTTTTTATGTAAATAATAATGAATTTGTTTAAAAATGTAGCAATAATCTGTTATTGGGGTAAATTGCACCAAACCCCCCTGTAATATACTAAATCTGTGCGTTTTTCCCTCGTAATTTAGAAATTGCGTCAAACCCCTTCTATTATATATTTGCCTGCATACTCGCCCTTTGATGTTAACACCGTTACTTTACTACTGACGGTGTTACTTTTTTCGTCAAATTTACTATTATACCCTTACTTTATCGCTGAATTTACCATTATACCATTATACCTTTATTTTATCACTGAATTTACCATTATGCCATTACTTTATCACTGAATTTACTATTATGCCATTACTGTCAAATAATATA